GTTTGATTTGGAGATTATGCCAGGTACGCCTGCCATACCTCTCTCCCCCTGTCCTTTTCAGTGGGTGCTCTCACACAGGTCCTTTTCAGTTCACCTGCTTCATCTTCTGCTGCAATCAGCAACTCCAAAATGCTCCAATCTGGTCTGTTCCCTCTGAGAAAAAAAAAAGATAATTCAAAATTACAGGACATCAATGATTGATGTTGTATAACATTACTGCACATTAAATATGGGCTACTGCATAACTTTAAGTAATTAATCACATGATTGTTACTTTTTATGGAAATTAACACATTAGTTACTTTTACATCTCACCCTCTGTTGAGGCTTTCTCTCTTCCAGAATGCTAGCAGTATTTCTTGCCTTTTTTATTTTTTGTTTTTAGCCACTTGCGTTAAAGACAGTTTAACTGATTATAATGGGAGTGATAGTTTTGCTGCATTGTATCACGCAGCTCGCTTGCAGAGCAGACACGCTGTCACACACGCATTCACTGTGGAGATCTTTACACCACCAAATTATAATGAATAAAGGTTTTCAACTATATTTGATGGCAAAAAAATAGGTAAATAAAAAAGTAACACTTCTTACTTTCATTGTTTTACAAATTATTATGTTAGGTTGGGTAAAAATACAGGTTTTCTGATCTTGAGATTGTTTCTTCCAACCTCAGAATCGATGATGTGCCAGTGTTTCCTGCACTGCGCAGTAAAATAAGTCATATTTGACCTGTCTTTGCAGTCTAAATCGAATGTGATAAAAAAGGGCAGTGTATCACAAAATAATAGCAGGGGGAAAATGCATTTCCATTGAGTTGTCTTTGCAAGCTGCAAGCAAAAACATGCAGTGTGACCAGTGTAGTCTGATTCACCAACAAATGACTCTAATAAAGTGGTTATCTTTAGTGAATCAAAAACATGCCACAGAATGCATGGACAAATGACACTTATGAGCCGGTCTTTTTTAATGAACCATTTAAAAGACTCATGAACTCCTTTGAAGGGGTTACCAGTTGAATCATTTTGATGGATATGTCAGAGCGGTTCTTCAGTTTCACTTTCAGTAATGCAGTTTATTTTATATATATATATTACATTACTGTGTGTGTGTGTGTGTGTGTGTGTGTGTGTGTGTGTGTAAATATAGCAAAAGAATATTAGAACTTAATTATCAAATCTGAAATCAAATTGGGATTTTTTTTTCTTTTGATATTCAGTCCTGGTATTATGGTGTAAATTTGAAAACAATCATTCCAACTTTCAAGTAATTTGGTTATGTTCTGTTCATTACCCAAATCTTCCATAAGTACTCAGAGGCATATAATTATGAACATTCTTCAGAATGAAGTGTATTTGTGTTAAATAAGAGGTCTGCAGTGTATACTGTTGGAATTTTAACACCACACCCAGAGGAAATTCATCATTAGGACCTTAGAGTGTCCAGATAAGAGATTCTGCATCATTCATGCTCTCCCTTGTGGTTGGTCATGAACAGAGACTTCATATCCTGTGGGCAAAAATGATTTTAGGACAGCACTTTCTTCAGGATCTGCTTTTGCCATGGAAACCATGTTTCCTGATGAGTCTTTTTTTGTCTCCCCTTTAGAGTGGGTATTTGTAGGAGTTGTCGTCCTTGGTAGTGTTCTCTTCCTGTTGTTGGTTGGGATCTGCTGGTGCCAATGTTGTCCTCACTCCTGTTGTTGTTATGTACGCTGCTGCTGCTGTCCTGATACATGTTGCTGTCCAAAACACTGTGAGTACACAAACACATACATACTACACACACTGCTTGTATTCACAACCTGAAAAAAAAAACATTCCCATTTGCCTTCAAAGTATATGAAGCAGGGAAGATGGCAAAGAGCGGCCAACCTCCTCAGATTGCCATGTATCAACCATACTACCATCCTGGTGTTCCTTTGGTTCCTGTAGTTCCACCAGCTGCACCATCCAGCATTGAACCCAAGTTGACTACAGTGTCTCGTTCAGTAGAAAACAATATAGCTGGAGGTAAGTGACAATACAACAGTCCGATGTCTGTCTAGTGAATTTTCATTTGCATTGAACAACTGCATATAACTGAAGCAAGTCTGCATCATCTATTTCAAAACAAACTCAACTAACATCATCTTCAGCTGCACTGTAACTTTCATCTTAGACTGTCCATGGTATTTAAAATGTTTAAAGGAATTGTGGTTAGATGAGACGAGAGTGCTTGCTGTATTTGAGTATGTGAACATGAGCTAATGACAGTAGACAAATATTTGGAAATAGAATGTTAATTGAAGTTTTAAAGATACTGACAGTGGAACAAACTTGCTAGCATTGTGAAAGAAGCAGTTGTGTGTTGTTTATGAAGATGGTGAATGGTTTCAAAATGTGTGTATCAAGAAGTAAAACATTTTGCCCTCAGCTGAGCGGCAAACATTATGGGGGAATTGATTCATTTAAAGTCTATGGTTTCCCTTACATGTTAATGGTATTTAAAGCAATTATTAGATTTTTTTTTTTTTACATTAACTTAATAGAAAATAATAAATATGGCTGTTTATTGGCCAGCTTATTTATTCACATTTTTATTTTTAATTAATATACTGTATTGATTCCTCCATTTTATTTTTATGTGGCACTTCTCATGCTCTGGCTGAGTTGGAATGCAGGTGGTATGTGAATAAGACAGGGTTTTGTGCTATGGCGGGCTAAATTGAAGCAGGTTAGTTAATTAGCCTCAGAATGCAAAAATTGCATAAATCCAGTGTGCAATATTATATATAACTATATATAATATATAACTCTTTGTGCATGCTTCTGTAAAGGTTTAACTATGTACTGTGTGAGTGTTACATGCATGTGGCTTAACTTTAAATGATGCACTGTATGTGTGGTAACATGGACACAGTAGAAACACACAGGTCATGTGTGTATGTCCACAGTGTGCAGTGGCTATCGACTCCAGGCCAGTCAGGGTCAGGATGCTATGAAGGTTGTGTACTACGTAGAGAGGGACCTGGAGCAGTTCCACCCTACCAAGGGGGGCAGTCATCCATGTAAGCCTGTATGCAGTCAGCATGTTTCTGTACACTGAATTTGTCTGTATAAAAAAGACTAGCTGAACTTGAGTTAAGTTGAGTTAGTGAAAATCTACTTACCAATGGTCAAATGACACCTGATGGCTTGTCTAATTTATTTCATCATCATCATTATCATCTAAATTCTAAACCCTTCCGCAATTGACCTGCCTTTTACATTAAAAGGCACAAGTTTTTACATTAAAAACTTAAAGGGATAGTTAATTCTCAAATAATTAAAACTCGGTCATCATTTACCTTCATGTCATTCCAAACCTGTATTTTTTATCTTCCTTGGAACACAAAAGATGATATCTTAAAAGATGTTTTTGTCCATACACTGAAATTCACATTGTTGTTGACAGATTTTTCACTTTTAGATGAAAATACATCTGTGATTGTGCATGCTTCTTGATCATGTCAAACAATTCATAATATTCTAACCAAGTTCAGAATTTCTGCCATAGATAGATTTTCTGCTGCATATTACAATGACAATAGAATTCTTATTTACATTGGTGTTATTATAAAGAATGGGAAAATGTCCAGAAAGTCCATAATGATGTCATTGTGTCAGCAGCTGGCAGCCTATCAGAACTGAGCTCTCTGCATGATGGTGACATAGACTTCAGGCAGACCTATCGGCAGGTCCAGAGGAAGGCACTACCACCCATCAGTGACCAAATGGAAGAGCCGCGTATCCGAACAGCATCGATTGGTCACGGGCTTCGATCCTCACATTATCAGAGCAATCACTCTCTGGATGAGCATGACAACAGGTACAATCTGAGTGTGTGTGTGTGTGTGTGCATGATCCAATTATTTAGGAAAGGGGTTTTCAAACTGAGACACAAGAATAATTTCTGAAGGATTTAACATCACAGAAATAAATTACGTTTTAAAATACATTAAAATAGAAAACAGTTATTTTAAATTGTAACAGTATTTCATAA